CTCGGTGTACTCCCCCTTATTCATTTTGTACATTATTTTAGCTCCCTGCTTTCACTCTCCCTTTTTTACTGCTGCTGCTGCTGCTGTTGTTGTTGTCGTTGCTTAATTCACTCATCTGATTAATTGTACTCAAAATTCTCAATACTCTATTTTGTCCATCTTTTAAACAGTTTTTCGTTATAATAGGAAAAAAAAAAAAGAAATCAGAAACTAATTAACAACTTTTTTTAATATTTTTTCTTATTTTTATTTCATCTTTTTGTTGTGAACAGATTTTTTTCAATTCTTTTATTACAAAAAAAAAAAAAAAAAATTTTTTTTTCTGGTAGTTGGAACAGCCGAAAAATACAACAAATGGTGTATAAGAAAAGTGAGCAATCATTATTTTTTTTATTTTTTATTCTTTTTTATTTATTTATTTTTGTTTTAAATTTGTTTATTTATTTATCTATCGTTTTTTCCTCCTACATCTATTTTGTTTGTTTATCGTGCAGAACTTACCGTCACATTTTTGTTCAACTTTTTATACAGCAGTAAAAGTTGGCAAAGAAGAACATGAAAAATAATTTTTACTTTTATCAAATAGGGAAATTGATCAATAAAAGTGATATATTTATGAGATTTTTAGATTCTTCTCATATTTTTGTTATATCTGATTGCCTCCATATTTAAAGCTAACTGCCAAATTGAAAGCTGTATGGGCGATTTTTTTGAAAGTTGTTATTCGGACATCTTACAAAGATCAGTAACTACCGTGTTTTTTCTAGAAGCCAAAGATTTGGTTGCTTGTTAATAGTTTGAGAAGTTTTCAATTTTTTCATTCTTTTTCTCTTGGCATTTTAATTTAACTTTTTTCAATGTTCTTTACGGCTTTAAATTGACAATTTTTTTTGCATATTTTAATTATTTACTTTTATTCTTTGCTCTTTGTAACTTTAAAATTTATTTCTTGTGGAGCGTTGTGAATTGTGAAGGTGAAAACATCTATGCCAGTGGAATATTAGTTAAAATCTGATTCTGTGTCTTGGCTGCAAAGTTACTAAGTGGCTTGGGCAAGTGATCAAACTTTGAAATTTGATTGTCAAATACAATTCAATTTTAATTCTTCCCGTTTCTTTTTCTTTACGTGAATTTTTAATTTAAACATTTGGATTAAACGAATAAACACCTCCTTTAATTGCCTTCTGAGGATCACATTTAAATATTTTACTGCACGATGTGCTTTTGCTTTTTAAGTGGTACTGTCAGTGAAGACTGTAATGTTTTATGCGTGTATTATTTTTAGTTTAGAAAAGAAAAGAAACATTCAACTGTTCTCATTAAAAAAGAATTTACTGGAAATTGTTTTACCGTATAGCAGTCTTTAAACTGTTGTATATTATCCATAAGTTTTCTTTTTTTTTCAGCTTTCGTGTGTGAATTTTTATGTAATCAGAAGCGTTTAGAGGAGGAAAAAAATTTAGCGAAGCAAGTACAGAAATTAAGTGAAAATGGTTAAAAGTTTTAGATTTAATTGGAATGCGAAGATCAAACAGACATCATGCATCTACGGCGGCTGCAGATGCTATGAATTTTCCAAAATCGCCAACCCGAAACCGAACTGTAAGCATTTAACATTCAACGATTCAAAACAGGTTATGTACCCTGAATGAAAATAAAATAATTGGTCACCGCAATAGATTTATCGTTTGGGGAGTTTCATTTTGGATTTTGAAAAAAATTTTTTTTTTTTTTTTTTGACGTGATATTCAAGAGTGCTTTTCAGTATTGCTGTAGATTGATGAAGAAGCATTTTTTTTTCTGAGCACATAAAGCTCAATGCTCTTGCTTTTTTATGCGATTTATCTACCTGTTCCGCTGTCTTGCAATGAGAGGCAGTTATCTGACAGTTTTTATTCCCTGTTTATTTTTTAATAGAATTGGACTTTTTTGTATTTTTATAGTTTGTACAACTTTTTGTTATTTTATTTGTCTAAAATTGAGCCAAATTTTTGGCTCAAACAAAATTGAATTGCACAATCTAGAAGAGTACAGATCATAAAGAACTGTTTTACGAATACCTCAAACTAGCGATTCTTTACTTAAACATTATTGCACCCCTGGGGGATGGAGAACGGCAGTAAGGCAATGAGAGTTTTTGAGGTTGTAGGGGGCGAAGAAGGGTTACAGTGATCGTGAACGGCCCAAGATTCATGATTGGTTCCGAAGGCTTGGTGAACTGTGAGAATGCTTTAATGAGAGCAGTTGATGGGGTCTCTGAAACTGTCTACTTTTTGATGGTAGAACTTTTAGTGGTAATAAACTGTTATGTGAATAGTTTTCATTCATTGCCTGCTTAATGTTGATTGCAAATGCAGAAGTAGCCACTGACGACCGGTGGAGAATGGAAGGGTAATGATCTGGTAGAGGGGTGATGGTAAAATATCTCTTTTAGAAAGGGGCCACGGGCTAAAAAAAGTTTGAGAATTACTGCCTTAAACGAAGCTTTGCTGGTAGTGCAATGTAAGGCTGACGGCAGGATGAATGAATGCCATTAACTATTTAGGGGGATGGGAAGGCAGCGATTCGCTCAGTGTCATCCAAGTCGTCGGCATCGAGCAGTGTCGTTGAACCGAGGAAACAACGAGCGGCTGCTGTTGCAGCTAAGGATGCAATGACGTTGATCGCTAACAATGGGCTCGCTACACGGGTGAATTTTGATTACAAAATTGTATATTATTTTTTCCCATGCATCTCTTTCGACAATTCAAACGTTTTTTGGCGTATTTATTTATGCTCCTCGTGACTGAAGTATATTAAAGGATGATTCTAAGACGTCTAATGTTAGTAAAAAGGAGTCGTCATCTCGCTTGGGAAAACGATCAAATGCTTTAACAACATCGAATATTGCTTCCAAAGTAACAAATTGTCACTCGCTTTTGTTCTTACCTTACTGAAGTTTTTTCGAAGAATATTTTTGAGTTGATATTTGTTTTGTAAGCTTCTGGTTTTTTACTTCACGAACGCCTAATGTTTTAGATGGTAATATTCTAAGCAGCGCTTTCGGCAAAAGCTATAATTGTATTTGTTGTTTTAAGGTCCCACGTACAGCGCCGCCGGAAGAAACATCTGTTGCCGCTGTATCGGAATCAAAAGACGCCGGAAAAAAAGGCAAGTCTGATTTCACTGAAAATGTTTCTGAACCAATGAATACTGTTCTTGATGTTTCTGCTACGATTCCACGCGATCTCAGTCATTTCCCGAGAGAACTCACTGTTAAAGAGGTAAATATTTTAACATTGGTTTATTTATTTTTATATTTTGCCATATTATATTGGTGTATTTTGCTGGTTTGGTACAAGGAAAGTTTCTGTCTCTTCTTTCTTTTCACTTTACTTTCTTTGTTCGTAACCTTGTATTACACACTTTGAAAAAGAAATTTCTTATAGAGTTTGAAGTTATTTTGTCTTTTATTTGAGTCCAAGTCTAAAATCAGGACGATTTTAAACCGACTTTTTTACATTCACCAAGTGATGATAAGTGCAACTTTTTGGAACTTTTATAGGTTATTGCTAAAACGATGAGAGTTAATAGAGTTAGCACCCGAGGTTTGAGTCGCGATATTGTTGGTTTAATGAAGGATATGAAGAATGAAGAGAAGCAGTCACTTCAGGTATGCCCTTTTCTTTTTTTCAATACGTCTTATTTTAGGAGCACAGTAATTTTGTGCTCGTAGTTTTCCTATTTGCTGTTCGGTGTCGCTAGTTGATTGGAGGAGGAATTACAGAGTAGTGGTCCTGATCCTGTACCAACGACACCAGCACTAGAAAAAAGTCACGCGCCGGTAGAAAATTCAAAAAATACTTTGGATGCCGTTATTGATGGAGTTCTTAGTATGGCAAGGAAGCCATCTGCAATTTCTTTGGCTCAGTCACAGCTCGCGCAGACCGGCCTGTCTAGTAGCGACAGTTCCCCGTCAAAACCAAAAAGACAAGTAGGTTTTACACAGTTCTTTACATCTTTGAAAATGTTTTTGTTTTTATCTAGTCTTTTTTGAGAACTTCCGCATTGTTTACTTTTTTTTGACACGACGGATATTCTAAGTTTAAAGTTTATTATTTAATAATTTATGGAACATGCTCGTTTCTTAATATGTTCATTTATTTAATTATTTTTTTGTCGTAGACAGAAGCTCATTTTTCGCTTTTGCAGTACGTTAGAGTGCGGGCAACTAGCAATGGCGAGTTGTTTGTTAATGGCCAACTGTACGCTCCCAGTGCCTTGATTAATGAGGCAGTCCCAACATCGGTAATTGCTTACTTAAAATGCATCAAATTTTCAAATTTATTTTTTTATCTACTTGCGAAATGTTTTTCTTTATGAATGAAATGTTTTTGGTTAAGGTAAGGAACAGGAAATGAGTTTAATTGAGTTTTTACTTCCTTTTCGAACGTTTACGATTTAAAAGTAAATCCAGTTTTTTTTTTTTGAATTTTAGGCTTTTTCGGTGGACAAAACAATTTCAACTGTACCTGTATCGTTGCCTCAGTCTTCTACAGAACCTGCATTTGTTTCGAGCCCCCAGACAGTAACTGTTTCCTCGCAAGCAACAGGTAGCTTGTAGCTTTTATAATGCTTGCTGAAAAAATTGTTTAAGGAGTTTTTGCTTTTTTAGTTTCTGCTTTCAAATTCAGGTGTTAGATTTTAATCAAGAGGATATTTGTAAACTTTTCCTTGAGGACCTTTAAACTTATTTTTAGAATTGCCGAATAGCGGTATTCGTAGTGAGCCTAAGTCGGCAACTGTTGATAGTCATCGAGATTCCAAAAAGGGCGTTCCCGATCCCCATCTTGAAGAGGAGGTTTTGGTGGATGTTGTGGGCGACACGTTGAGGTATTTTCGTCTCAAGCAATCTTTTTTAAATTATAATTTTCTATTTGAACATATATCTCTTTTTTAGTTCTGCTAAGCCTGTTGCGCGAGAGCTAAGCGTTTCTGAAAAAATTCTTATAATAAATGACTTTGATGAAGGAATGCTTCCGCATGAACTGGAACAGAAATATAACATCACGAAGTTACAGGTATTCCTTTTAAAATTTAGTGAATTCTTGTGTTTCTGCGAGATGAGAGAGTATTGAGTGCTGGAAGAGCGTATTTTGAAGGTTGCCGAAGTATTACGAAATCGAATATCGATTATTCGGCAACAGGCTACTTCGTTGTCCGATAGACATGCCCTAAAGCGTCGAAGAACAAATTTTGTTGGTTTGAATTTGCTTATGTGGCGGTTCTTCTGTGATTGTCGTGATCAAGGGATCGTTCTGAATGGTCGACAGTTAAAGGAGCATGCGCTTAGCATTGCAAGGCAGCTGGGTTCGTTGAAAATTCCTAGTTTTGAATAATCTGTGAACCAGTGTTTGTTTGTAGGAACACTACCCTTTTCTGTAGGTCTACCCGTTTTAAGAAATCAAGCTTTTTTTGATCAATTGGTTAGTAAGTTAATCTTTTATCCAACAGAAATCTGAAAAATTTTGTCATTTTTGAGTACACTTAAGGGGAATTTTCAGTTTTGTTGTTTTTAGGCTTGCATAATTTCAAAGGGTCAGAAGGCTGGTTAGATTCTTTCAAAAGACGTCATAATATAGACTTAAAGACTATGACTGGCCAACCAGTTATTTATGAAGCAGAGGCCGATTTGAATAGTTTTTGTATTGGAGACAATCCTACTTCAACAACAGGTGAATTGGTCACAAGTTTCCTGTGCGATCCACATGTCGAAGTGTGCCTAATGTGTACAGATTAATAAGCATTTCTTGTGACCTCTGCTAAACATATTTTTTTACTTTGAATTTATTTTTATTTAAATTTTAGCTATCATAGATGGGAGTTTGAGACTGAACAGCGAAGACTCAGCTCCGCCAATAATGGATGCAAATCAATTTTTAATAGACGTTACTGATGCAGCTGCTAAATCAGCTGGAATTCAGTCGACCAGTGTAACTAATACAGTGTCTACAACTTCGACTGTTGGTTAGTGTTGTGATACTAAAGATTCAAATGTCAATTTTGAAAGTTCGCAAGGAGCTTTGTTATTTCTTTTGTTTCCTTTAGATTCAGGGCCGTGTCAAGCAACTGCTGCTGTCCATACCACACAGCCGCTTGACTTAACACGTGTGTTTCCCTCTACATCAAGTGTATATCCCTTGTCCAATGCTTTTGTTCAGACTCCAGCTGAATATATGCTTCCAAATGGTTTGACGCCTGGAATTTTCAAACTTTTTTAATTAATCCTTTATAAACTTTGTTCAGTTATGTTACATTGAGGTCTTTTAGAGGGATGTTGTTTTTTGGTTTTATACTTTTAGGTTTTTGAACTTTGTACTTTAGGTATAAGTGTAGCAAATCATCGTTTCGAGACAATCAATGCTGAAACTGTCCAAGCACTCATCGAGACCTGTCTTTACCGTGCCGATGAGCCAGAGGTAAGTGCGGGAAAAAATTGCCAATTCTAGTTATTAAAAGCAGTTTTTGGTTACACTGTTAATGATCTCGTCTGTTAAATATTTTCAGATATCACGTGCTATTGAAACAATTCGTTCTTACATCACGATGACTGACATCACTTTGCTGCCGATGTTGGTCAACCTACAGAAAGGATTAACTGGTATAGCTGCTAAGAAAAAGCTTAAGGAAAACCTACCAAGTGATTCGAATCAAAGTTCGGACTCAGCAGCTAAGCAACAAAGTTGTGCTGAAGAAAAGGTTGCTATTTTAAGCAGTTGAAAACTTTTTCGTAGGTTATTTCCTTTTTTCTCATGTGGGTAGCTTTGTATGTAATAGGGGGGAATTATTTAGAACGACGCAGGTCATTGTGCAACACCGGATTCTATAGGAAGCGGTGCTGATTCTTGCATCTCGAATGTCGCTTGCCGTGGTTCCAGCAGTTTGAACAACGTTGTCACTTCGACGACTGGAAGTAAAACTTGCCATGAGCCGGGTCTTGCCGGCATTTTGCAAAATGTAATGCCTAAAATTTCTCTGGATCCGATCTCCAACCATAATCAATGATAGATTGTGGTAATACTTTTGTTTTCGTATAATCTTTGAAAAAAGGACTTGTTATGTTTAAAACACTCATTAATCAGCACTTCACAGATAGATACTGTCAGTTTTTTGTGATTATGAAGGAAAGCATTGAGACATTATTTTTGTGACCTAATAATTTTGATAGTTTGCAAACGTTTAACAAGAGGAAATTAACTCCGTTCTTAAAATTTTTGTTCATTTGAGGTGGGATTTTTTTGCCAAGAGATGATTTCAAAGATTCTTTTTACTTTGCATCTTTTTCTGTCCAGAATTTGCTGCAGTTGATTTGAGTATTGTTCGTCTTTTGTTTTATTTTTTGTTATATGTCTTCTAGTTCTGTTGGGAAAGAACGGTGAATTTATTTTTTATTGTTTGTTCTTATTTGTCTTTTGTTTTTACTCCTTAGCCTGTTTTATCTTTTTTTCTTTCGCTTTATTTTGACATTTTTAAGATCTCGTTGGCTGCGTAGTAGATGTTCCTCGTTGTTCAGTTCCGTACTTTGTGAAAGCGTTGTAATTGTCTTCAATGAACATTTTAAAAAAATGTTCTTGAACTTATTATACAGCAGAATAATTTCTATAGCGGCGCATTATTATGAGGTTAAACTAAGCTAACATTTTTATGGAGGATTTTTTTGTTTTTTTAGCATGTTTAGAAGAAAAAAAAGAAGTAATTTTTGTTGTTTTTTCCAGTTTAATTCCTTCTATATAGAAGTCGTTTGAGTGGCTCTCCAGTTCCGTGTTTGTCTGGAAGTCTACTTAATTCTGATCGATGAAAGCTTTGCCCAGCAGTTTTACTCCGCTAGGGGATTATGAACATCTAGTCTTTGTATCGCATACAGTTTTCTTTGGCCAGTCACACACTAACGCTCTTGGGTTCCAGTGCAAACCAACTGGGCAGTCCATATGTATCCATCGTCCTTGCGCACACTGATAATATCGCCGAGCATCCAGGTTATCTGCTCGGAAGCCAGTGATTCCACTGCTTTCCTGCAATGCCCTGTTTAGGGAACTTTTTATTTCAAGGCATACACTTGTGTATACTGTTTTAGTATTGGGTACAAAAAAATCATCGTACTTAGTAAACTTTGTGTGTAAAAATGAATATGAAATTAATCTCTTCGATTCGGGTATGATTTAATCGGCAGATGAGAAACTGTTTTTTACGTTACTAGTTTACAGCTCCGGTAATACTGTGGTTTTCAATGTTTTTTTGCTGCTTGGGATTGGCCCACTTGGAAGTTTCTTCATCTTCAGCTGATGATGAGTTAATGAAACTCACTTCGCACGGCGTTGCATTACTACGGGGTGGTATCGTCGGTTTTGATGGTACCGTTTTTGATGCGGGCGCAAAGTGAGCAGCTCCAAAGCATATGCCCGGTACACAGCGCTTCATGTTTAAACTAAAGGAATATGCTTCCGGACATAATTTTTTGATAAGTTTTCTTTGCCCATTCACTCTTGCGCATTCGTAGTAGGCTCTACAATTTTCTGGGTCAGTCCGAAGTTCTCCGTCATGGCATTCAAGTTCTGGTAGTACAGTAATCCTTGAAATTTCTTCTTGCTGAAGTGGTCTATTTGGGCAAACGTAATTGGCTTGACAACTTTGTTCCTAAAACAATCTATATGGACCAAGTTCTTCTTATGGTTCTTTAATTTCTGAATCTTTTAACTCTAGATAAAGTTTTTATAGTCTGAGCTGGTAGTGACCTACCATTGGGTTGAAAAAAGTTCCAGCGTTACATAACCGTATCTCCTTTTTCCCGTTAACGCATTCAAAGTATAAGGTGCAGTCAGCTTCGTTTAGTGTTTTTGTGCCGTTGATGCAAGGGCCGGAATCTTAAATCTTATAATAGTCTTCTGACGGATTCTTTTTATTTTTTTCGTTTCTATTTTTAAACGTTGTAAAACACCATACAATCATACAGAGGCTATTTGTTGATGAGAGTAACGATGTTTGAGCACTATTTCACTTATTTACATTATTTTTTTTTTCTTGGAGGTATGTCTATCTATGTGACCTAATGGCAGATTCTATTTGTTTTCGCGTAAAGGATCATTAAAACTGAATTTAACGGAAACATTATCGAAGTCCTATTGAATTAATAATGAAATCCAAAATTACCTTCAACAATATCAGTTATAGTCTGTTCTTCGTTATCGGCCTGCAAAAAGGGTATAAGATATATACAGACGTGTGGAAACGGCGAATTAGTTATGAATATTAGTGGTTTTAATGTCTGCTCACTGAATAACTTTTCCCTTACTTCTTTAGACCTAACTTTCAGTTTTGATTTAATCAGGAAATCGGTAACAAACAGTGACTCTATTCCAGGTTTATTTGTCAATAAAAATTTAGACCCTCGAGCTCAATTTGACGGTGATTTATCGGTTCATTTGTGAAGAGTACAAAAAGTTAAGTGTGTCCGGTTCATTTTCACAAATTAATTAAGTGTGAATGTAAAGGTCAGTCACTTGGCCAAATGTAAGATACGCGGTAGCCAGCAGCAAAGTAATATGTAGAAGCATTTCAATTGTCATTCGCTTTTTCCAGATACTTTCTACAAAGTTAGAGCTGTTTAGACCGTTCATATGCCGTTTCTGACTAGGATAATGTATCAGAGTTTTAGCAAACCTAAGTCACAACAGTGATAACAAAAAAAAAAAAAAAAAAAAAAAAAAAAAA